AAGTTAGGAAAAGAATAACAATCACATAGATGTTGAAAAAGAAGCTAATAAAGCTGAGAGCATTCATGCATGTACTAGAAAGCAAATAATAGAAGACACCTGAAATTGTTCTTTAAAAACACTAATAAAAATAGACAAACAGGCAAGATTGATCAAGAAAAAAATATAGGAGGTGAAAAGGGAGCAACTACAAAACCAATATAAACTATAGAAATAATTCAGTATACTATTCAAATAGATCTATAAAAATACAGGAGAATTTCTAGCTTTACTAAACCTTCACGTAAAGAGAAACTTTATCTTTTTCATTCCATTCTGTAGAAAGAGAAAGAAACTCACTTCTGTTATCTACCTTGTGTTACCTTGATAACAAACCGGACAAGGTCAGTATGAAAAAAACATAATTGGAGGCCATCTCATTTATAAACATATAAGCAAAAAATTCTAAATAAAGCCTTAACAAATGAAATTGAAGAATATTGGAAAAATATCATACATCAGGGCTCAGAGAAGTTCATTCTAGAAATGTAAATGCAAAAGAAAAATCTGTGAGAGAGCATCAAATAGATCCCAACTGAGGAACAGCCTGTAAAGCAGTACTCCTTAAAACCATGGCGGTCATCAGAAACAAAGGCAGTTCTGAGAAAGAAGTTCTCAGTCACAAGGAGGCTGCGGACACCTGACAGCTATTTCTTACATGAGATCCTGGAACACAAAAAAGAATTAGGTAGAAACTAAAAAATCTCAATGAAGTGTAGACTTTATAATAATCTTTTAGTATTGGTTTGTTAATTGTAATAAATATTCCATCAGAAGGTAAGATGTAAATAGTGGAGGAATTAGGTATGGAGTATAAGGGAACTCTGTTGTCACAATTTTTTAAATCCAAAATTGTCCTTTTTTTTTTTTATTAAAAAAAACCAGTTTCGCTCTTGTTACCCAGGCCGGAGTGCAATGGCGTGATCCCGGCCCACCGCAACCTCCGCCTCCTGGGTTCAAGCAATTATCCTGCCTCAGCCTCCCAAGTAGCTGGGACTACAGGCACGTGCCACCATGCCCAGCTAATTTTTGTATTTTTAGTAGAGACAGGGTTCCACCATGTTGACCAAGATGGTCTTGATCTCTTGACCTTGTGATCCACCTGCCTCAGCCTCCCAAAGTGCTGGGATTATAGGCATGAGCCACCGCGCCCAGCCCCAAAATTGTTCTTAAAAAATAAATTTTATTTAAAAAAAAACTAATACAGGGAAAAATTACCAAATATAAAATAAATACATTAAAGGCAACAACAAAAATTACAAAATAAGGAAAACAAGTGGCTTTTAAAAATAAGCAAGAGAAATGAGTGACAAAGACATTACAAATTATAATAATGCATATCCAGTTAAAGACAGTAGAGTGAACAAACACAAATGGCCCAACTTCTCCTTCAAACCCTACCTAAGCCACATTGAAATGATGTATATTAATGAAGACATAAATCCACAAGGACAAAGATGGCAGGAGAAAGACAGTAGCAACCAACTTCTTGAACTTGCAGAACAGGTGGCCTCTGGTGAATGAATTGGCAGACCTGAGAATATTAAATTCTGTGTCAGTAGAAGGGAAAGCCAAGAAACAACCAGACTTTAATTAATGCTGGTTCTCTAAAAGAGTTAGAAAATTTTCCATATCAGGTAGCTACAGGAGTAGGTGATGATGGGGCTAGAAATAGGAGACTATTTGTAAGTCTGTTTAAGAACTAGTTAGAGCTCTGTTGCCACGGGCAGCTGCCTTTTCATCCTAGAGAACGGTGAGAACACATTTAGTGAGGGGGGTTCTGGCTTGGAGTCACCAACACGTCTGAGTGCAGAGATGCTGTCTTGAAGTCAGAGGGATTAAAGGAGAGTTTACATACTCTTTGAGCAGGAGAGAGCCTTTTGAATTCCAGGGGAAAAAAAAAAAACTCAACATACATATATCTGAGGTTCTTCAGGTATGCAGTGAAACTGACCAAAGGCCATCACTGCTGTGGACTCTGCTTTAATTCAGTCCTGAGCATGCAGAGCCGTCAAATACGTTGTTGGAGAAATGAGTTTAAACTTGAGGAAAGAAATCTAGGCCAGAAATGGGCATGCTGAGCTGTCAGTATATGTATAGCATTTAAATATCTATTAATTTAAATTTAAATCTCTATATTAAAATATCAATTTCTATATCTATGTTAAAAATCTCATACAGTAAGTCTGTATGAGATTAAGAAGGGCATGAGTATAGATAGAGAAGACAAAAGCTCCAGGGCCCTTCAGTGGCCACAGTCTGTGAGCTGAAGAAGCACCAGCAAAAAGAAGAAGACCAGGTGAGGGTCGTACCTGGGGGTCAAATGGTTGAAGCATTTCAGAAAGGAGACATGATTACCTGAATCAAATGCTGCTGAAGACTGGACATTGAACACTGCATTAAACAACATGGAAGTTGGTGGCTTACTCAATCACCATGCCAGTGGAGAAGAGGTATAGAACACTTGAGAACAGAGACTGAACTTTGCGCAAAGGTTGCAGGTTGTAGATGTGGAAACCGGAATTTAAAAACTGAGCTGCGGGAGATGAGAGGAATGTGCTTGGTCCTGGAAGCAAATAGAGACAGAATTGTGGAAAAGGGGCATGAGGAAGAAGTGTTAAATGCTGCAAGGAAGTCAAAAGGATGTAGAGTGGGAAAATACAGCGTGCAGTTAAAATGCTTCCTCTGCTGATTATTACATACGTATTATGAGATAAACGTTTTTGTGCCTCTGTTGATTATTACATACATATTATGAGATAAATGTTTTCGTCATAATACAGCATTCTTTTTTTTTTTTTTCCAAGACGGAGTTTCACTCTTGTTACCCAGGCTGGAGTGCAATGGTGCAATCTCGGCTCACCACAGCCTCCACCTCCTGGGTTCAGGCAATTCTCCTGCCTCAGCCTCCTGAGTAGCTGGGATTACAGGCACGCACCACCATGCCCAGCTAATTCTTGCATTTTTAGTAGAGACAGGGTTTCACCATGTTGACCAGTCTCGATCCCTTGACCTCGTGATCCACCTGCCTCGGCCTCCCAAAGTGCTGGGAATACAGGCGTGAGCCACCGCGCCTGGCCAATACAGCATTCTTTAAGTAGTGCCTACATGTCTTTGGCTGCTTTTTCATTTACTCTGAAAATCCAAAGGCTTATGATTTTAGGAAAGTGGAGACTTAATCAACTCAGTCTTCCCCAGCCTTTACTCATCCTAAAGCAACAGGCATCCAAAAGACAAAATTGTATAACTTAAATGATAAAATTAGATGTATATGTAAATCATTAAATTATTCATTAACTCTGTTTTAATGCACAAAACTTCATATTTCATAATTAAATATATATTACAAAGACATGCTGTGCCTTGAACTTGTTAGCACAGTCTCATCTCACAGCCTTTTCTCTAGCTCTTCTCCCTGACTAGCTCTTCCCCACACAGCTGCATAGCCCATTTGCACATCATCTTCAAGTTTGAGTCACATGTCACTGCATGCTTAAAATCTTTAGTCATTAGAGAACTGCAAACAAAAACCTCAGTGACATACTGCTCCATGCCTATAAGAATGGTTAAAATTTTTTAAATTGACAGTATCAAGTTCTAGCAAGGCAGTAGAGCAAATGGAACTCTCATACTTTGCTCGCGGGATGCAGACCATCATAGCACTTTGGAAAACAGTTTGACAGTTTCTTTCTTCAGTTAAATGTTAATTAAGCATACAGTTATGACTGGATCCAGGAATCTCACTCCTAGATATTTGCTGAAGAGAAATGTAGACATAAGTTAACAGAAAAGCTTGTACATGAATGTTTATGGCAACTGTATTCATAATTGCCAAAAATAGGAACCAATCTAAATATCGACAGGTGAATGGATAAACTATGATACATCTATAAAATAGAAGATTAATCAACAATAAGCAGAGACAGCTGATACCCACAACTGTACGGCTGAATCTCAAATGCCTTTTTCTGAGTGAAAGAAACCGGACAGAAAGACTACAAACTGTAGAATTTCATTCTTGAGACATTCTGGAAAAGGCAAAACAATAGGAACAGAAAGCAAAGCAGTGGTTGCAAGACACTGAGAATAGAGGAAGGGGACCAGATTTGAAGGGGCCGTTTTTGGAGTGATGGGACTCTTCTGTATCTCAGTTCTGGTGGCAAGTTATGGCAACAGTTACATGAATGTATACATTCCTTAAAACTCCTTAAACTTTGGCCAGGCGTGGTGGCTCATGCCTGTAATCCCAGCACTTTGGGAGGCTGAGGCGGGTGGATCACGAGGTCAAGAGATGGAGACCATCCTGGTCAACATGGTGAAACCCCGTCTCTACTAAAAATACAAAAAAAAAAAAAATTAGGTGGGCACGGTGGTGCATGCCTGTAATCCCAGCTACTCAGGAGGCTGAGGCAGGAGAATCCCCTGACCTCAGGAGGCGGAGGTTGCGGTGAGCCGAGATCGTGCCATTGCACTCCAGCCTGGGTAACGAGCGAAACTCCATCTCAAAAAAAAAAAACTCCTTAAACTTGAAAGGGATGAAGATGTCTTGTATGCACGTTTTATCCCCAAAACCTGACCTAACAACAACAAGCACTGGGGAGATGTTACTCTGGCACTGAGGCTTCCCTGGCCATCCATTTCCATGGCACTGTTTCCCACCTATGCTGTTCAAGGATCTCCCTCTTCCTCTTCCCTGATTTATAAAACCCATCACAGGGTCTCCAGGAACTGTTATGTCATCTCTTAGATTGTTGCCCTTTTAGTTTGAAGAATCAAAACTATTTGACCTTTCTTCATTGAACCTGGTTTTCTCTCCTTTTAAATTCTCAGCTGTTTCACATTTTTACCTTATTTTGCTTCGAATACATATAATTTTAAAAATAGGTAATTTGCATTAAAGAAAAATGGTATGATGAAATCAAGATTGTTTACAGGGTTAACAGACATGTTTTTCTGCATAGATAGTAGCGAGTGCCTTGCAGATGACTGCAGTATAATTGCCGGGGGGAGCCTCGCTGGTTGGCACCCAGACTCTGCTGCTGTGTTATGGCGAAGAGTTTTGGGGATCCTTGGAGATGTGAATAACATTCAGTCACCCAAGATTCATGCCAGAGTTTTCTGCTATCTCTATGAACTCTGGTACAAACTAGCAAAGGTAAGTCCTACTATGTTACTTTTTATTCTAATCTAGGAAAATGGTTTTTTACATTTTTTTACATTTAATGTAAAAATTGTGTTAACAGTTAACTACTGAACATATTCTAAAACACAAATTGTATGTTTAGACAAAGTACATTTGATTTTCAAAGAATAATCATATATAACATGAATAGTTTATAAATGTAAAAGTTACTTAGTGCAAAGTAGAATATTGTTATAGGATATTAAATATAAGATGTTAAGTAGTTCTGGTTATTCTCTTTATAAATGCGATACTGATTGTACTGTACAAAATTTGAAAAATGTAGAAAAATACAAACAAGAAAATGCACATCACTATTCATAGAAATAGCCAATATTTGCAACAGGATCATCTGGGGAAAACAAAAAAGAAAGAGCCAATATTAATATATAGTCTTCTTTCTTTTTACAAAAGTAGAAGAATCTTAGAGTGCATACAATTGTTTTTGAGACGGAGCCTTGCTCTCACTCAGGCTGGAATCCAGTGGCCGGATCTCAGCTCACTGCACCCTCCGCCTCCTGGGTTCAAGCAGTTCTTCTGCCTCAGCCTCCTAAGTAGTACATAGAATTTTTATTCTGATTTTTGTTTGGTTTCTGACGTTCTTATGTTATTCAATTTTTTTTCAAAAACATGATTCATGTTTGTTTAGTAATAACTCATTAAAATATTACTTACATTTGGAATTCAGGACCTCCCCAGCCATTAACATTCAAGGAAAAACAATGCCTTTGTTTGGTATTTAAATCTAAAACCACTTACAGTAAGCCAAACACACAATTCAAAAGGATAATCTCATGATAAAAGAAAAATTTGTAAATATTACAGGTTTTCACTTAACTTGTAGAAGTTTAGCTGGAAGCACCTATTTGGTTATGGAAGACAATATTGAAATACTGTTGGGATAAAAGTAATGTTACCTACCCTGAAATTCTCCTCTTTGTGAATTAGATACGGGATAATCTAGCAATAAGCCTGGATAACCAGTCTTCTCCGTCTCCTCCACTTTTGATTCCACCACTCAGAATGTTTGCATCATGGCTTTTTAAGGCAAGTGGTTATGTGTTTATTCCTTTATTGCAATTTCCTCTTCCTTCCCGAAATTGAGTTTGAAAAATGTAATTGCCCAAGAGTGCATGTTTTGAAGACAGGCTGGGTCTTACTAAAGCCACTGCATCCCACGTGTCCATAAACAACTCTTGAGGAAAACTGAGAAGTAAATGAAATGTTGAAATCCTCTGCACCTGGGCTTGATTTAATCTGGAAACTTCATCTCCTTGACAGGCAGCGACACTGCCAAATGAATATAAGGAAGGCAAACTGCAAGCCTACAGGCTGATCTGTGCCATGATGACCAGACGCCAGGACGTTCTGCCAAACTCAGATTTCCTGGTGCATTTTTACCTTGTGATGCACCTGGGATTAACCAGCGAGGATCAGGTATTCTGTGACTCCTTTATTGTGATTGCTCATTAATTGGAAATGGCATATCACTGTTTAAAGGCACTACTAAGATTTATGAAAATATATCAGAAGCGTTGAATTTCTCAGTAGTTTCAACTCTCTTACACACAGCAAGCACAATGGTCTTTCAAAAACATAAATCAGGTTTCACATCCCTGCCTCTTCTCCCCTCTTACTTTGCATTGATTGCATTGTGCCAACCAATTTTAATTTTATTCTGTGGCCTCTATAATCTTAACTCTGCCTGTGTTGTCAACCTCCAAATACTATTATAACCATTTTTTGTTTGGGTTCTGCATTAAATATGGTTTGAAGAAAGTGATACTGATCATGTGTGAAAATGGTTGTTTTAGTAGTTAGGATGTTTTTGTGAAAGACTTTACCCATAAGATAGAAAAGGAGTCCAGGTATTTCTTGATAAGGAGTTATCTTAATTTCTCCCAATTCAATTTAAGTTTGGGTCAAGTTAGAACAGAAAGGCCCATGGAGCCACTAGCTACTGCTTCTTCCTTGTAGACCCTGGGTTTGGGGGATAGGATGTGGCCAGTCCCTGGCCTTCCTCCCTTGGGAAGACGTCTGCCAGTTGAGGGAGGTTATGGATAGGGACACATGGATTCTTAAATTGATTTGGGATACCAAGCAGGCAAGTGATGTGATTGATTTATGCTTCACGGAGATTATTCTGGACTGCATTTGGAAGATGGAGTTGAAAATGTGATGGTAGGATAGAATGGGAGATTGGCCTGTAGACTGAGAAAAATTAGGAAGTATTTAAACTAACACAGATTTTCTTAAATGATAAGAACTAAGCTGGTAGCATTGGGGATGGAAAGAAAGGAATAGAAAATATTCAAGAAATTTTAAGGCATTTCATTTTATCACTAGGTTTTCTTAACCAATTAGAGGTATAGGGAATGTTTCAGAATTTACCCTTTAAATTGTAAATACTTATTAATGAACTTGAATCATTTATTAACTATCAAGTAGCTGTCCTTTCTGCATTTCTTTTATTCTTTGAAGGTCTGATGCGGATTCACAGACCTTTTGATATCCCTAGGTTATATGTAAGAAGTAAGCTAGGGATGCAGTCTACAGCACCAAGAAAAACTTGTTTATTGGGATGCAAGCTAGATTGCATCCCTAGCTTACGTCCCAAGCCTTTTGTGTTGCTTTAGAATGCATTTAAACCTTTTTAACTTTTGAGCCCTATTTAAAGAGTTTGCAGTATGTATTTCCCAGTACTTACTTTGAGCTTTAAAGCTCATTGAACTCTTATATTAAATAATAACCATACCGTCCTAGCCAGTATTCCATCATATTCATTGTGATTTTAGCAGTGTATAGAGGACATCTGTGTAGCAGGCTGGCTTAAACCCATAATCTCATTTATTTCCTAGAAAAATGTAGAAATGGGGACATAGAGTAGAATTGCTTGTACTCCTTGCTCAAATATTTTACAGCCATCATTGCAAGTGGAAGCATCTTTTACAGAATGATGCAACTCAGGGTGTGTGGAGGATTATGGGGTGTAGAAAAGAGAATTAACTCTCACAGATGATAATGAACTCCTTCAGTGAAAGAAGCAAAAGAGGAAAGTTTACTTCACAATGCTCTACCTGAAAGAAGCCTTTTGCTAATATTTTGCAGGAAAAAACATTTACTTGGAAATAATCATCAACTATAGATCCTTCTTATTTTATAAAAACAAGTAAGTTAGCAGTAAAGTGTTCCTTAGAATGAGTTTTTTAGAAAGTCATGTAAATAGGTGAGTTTCAAATTATCTTTCTGTTCTAAGGTGTGTAGGTGTGGAAATGAAACAAAATGAGATGAAATAAGGGTATATTATATAGAGTTAGAGAACCTGAAAAAATTATTTTACAAATCATTTTAAGAAATACGATTTTATAGTAAAGACAAAAGAATTTTCAAATTTTGTGCTTAAAATTGTGTTTACATTTTAATGCATATTATGTTTTTAATTAAGGCCCATTATCTTTTGTAGTTCATAGTGAAATACATACATATTAAAAGATGGTCCAATGCTAACATTAATCCTAACATTGAGACTTCTAAGAAAAAATGAGGATATCATAAATCTCTATTTAAAAATCAGCCTATTGTTTAGGCTATTAGAAGCTTGAATTTTTATGTGAGTTTAATAGAGTTGACTGTTTTCTTTAACCTTAACAATTATTTGTATGTATTTTAGAAGCCCTGACTGTCTGCCAAACAGAATTACTCTAAGTAAACTTTATTCCTTTGCCAGAAGAAAATTACGCAGAAGACCTAATGAAAGAAACTTTTTTCATTTAAGTAAGAAATGTCTCTGGTAATTAGTTTAACTTTTGGTTCACATGTCTAAATAGATCATAGTGGTTGTTCAAGAACTTATATAATTTTGGAAACACATTTTATATTAATTATAGCAGAAAAGAAAGCATTTACTGTAGAGAACACAGTTAAATTCAATTTTTTAATTAACAAACTGGGTACCTGTGAATGGTAACATTTCAGGGCTTCTTTCTGTTTTGTGAGAATTCTCAAAGGGCCACACTTTTATGTATCCTACTACTAAAAGGATTTATTTATGCAAAGAGAACCTTATGAAGGGTGTCCTGTGTTTTTAAATACATAGTCGTAAATAATTGTTTAAAACTGATGGTCAGTTTTGTCTCACAAATAAAATCCTAGGTGGGTTTCTTCCTTTTGCCTCTGGGTGGCACACTTGTCTGCACAACACAGCTTTGTGGTTCATGGGTGTTTGAACATTATGCTGTGTGTGGCACAGTTGTTTTACAAACTTCTTTCTTAAATCTGAAAGTATCAAAGTTACGTCAGTAGTGACCAATAAAGTGTTGAATTAAATAAGTTATAAGATGCTAAAATCTTTTCAAACACAATGGTATTCATAGTAATTGAAGACATTTTAGTTTAAAAAACTATTTGTAAAGTAGATGTGTTGTGTTCTCTGTCAATCCTGGAAAGTTATAGTTTCATCTAATATGATAGAAAATTTATTATGTAAACAGACATGGTCATTTGTATCTTAAAAAATAATAATACATATACCAAACAGCCAGAAAAATGTAGTGCATTCCAAAACAACCATTTTTAGTATTTTTATCCAGTTTTAATTATCCTAATAACTTATTTAATACTAACGCAATGAACTTATCAAGTAGTATTTCCCACAGTATATGTGTAACATGGGTTTGTGGTTGATTGGTGTGATGGAAAACATGCTTTGAAATGGCTTTATTTTTTCCTTGACAACAAATTTTTTTTTTTTTTAATTGAGGTTACTGGTTTACAAAATTACTAAGATCATGAACACTTTCAAAATAAGTGTAAATTATGAAGAAAATTTGGTGTGACTTTCAGGGCTACCCAGCCTGCCTGTGAAGGGGTCTGCCAGTGTGCTTCCCTCTGCTCAATTGCTTTGTGTCTGGTGGGCTGGTGGGGCTTGGGGGTGTTTATTTATTCAGGACTCACAGTGCCAGGCTGTGTGCTGGGGAGTGCATGATGTTGTACCATTGAGTCTTTTCTGCAATTCAATTCAATAAATATCATGGCCTGTTTTATTTTATTATTGATTGCTTGGAGATGGGGTGTCCCTCCATTGCCAAGGCTGGAGTGCAGTGGCACAATCAGTTCATTGGGCTCAAGCAGTCTCTCATCTTGGCCTCCCAAAATGCTGAGGTTACAGATGTGAACCATAGTGCCCAGCCCCTGAGGTCCATTTTATAAATTATGAAGTTTAAAAAAAATATCAAAAACTTTGCCTAGTGTCACATGTTAAAAAGGCTGTTAGAATTCACATGCAGGCCTGACTTATTTCACCATATATGTTTTTTTTTTTTGATTCACAGCTAGCATGTTGGTTCAATAGTCCTTGATGTTGTTTCTCCCTTCTGTTTTATTTTGCCTGGGCTCTGCCCTCAGTCCCACCCCACTTCAGAATCCTCCTCATTAGAGTACCCAACTCAGCCTGGAAGGGCCTTTCCACGGCAGCTGCTTCTTTTTTTTGAGACGCAGTTTTGCTCTTGTTACCCAGGCTGGAGTGCAATGGCACGATCTCGGCTCACCGCAACCTCCACCTCCTGGGTTCAGGCAATTCTCCTGCCTCAGCCTCCTGAGTAGCTGGGATTACAGGCACGCACCACCATGCCCAGCTAATTTTTTGTATTTTTAGTAGAGATGGGGTTTCACCATGTTGACCAGGATGCTACAGTTGCTTCTTAGTTCTTCATCGTTTTTCAGTTTCTCTTCTAAAGCTGTTTCTTGTTGTTCTTAGTTTTTCCTAATACTTAAGCAGCTTTTTCACCTCAGAATTCCCCAAAATAGTTTGACATGAAAGACCTATGATTTGGATTTATTAAAAACACTTTCTGGCCATGCACGGTGGCTCACGCCTGTAGTCCCAGCACTTCGGGAGGCCAGGGTGGGCAGATCACAAGTCAGGAGATCAAGACCATCCTGGCCAAGATAGTGAAACCCGGTCTCTACTAAAAATACAAAAAATTAGCTGGGCATAGTGGCACGTACGTGTAGTTCCAGCTACTCGGGAGCCTGAGGCAAGAGAATTGCCTGAACCCAGGAGGCGGAAGTTGCAGTGAGCCGAGATCCCACCACTGCACTCCAGACTGGCAACAGAATGAGAACTCTGTCTCAAAAAACAAAACAAAACAAACAAAAAATCCGGTTCCTATTAATTTCATGATTATTTAAAATAGATGGAAAGATTAATATGTGTGAAATGGAAAAGGACAGTTGAGGAAAGGAATTTTATTTTTATGTTTGTAAGAACATGTATCAAAGACTGGAAGGTTTTCGTTGCTCAAAACAAGTGAACTGTTTTGTAACAATGACTTATGGATTTAATGTCTTAATGTAATTTGTCAATTTGTCTGTTATACATCAAAGTTAAATTCTCTTTTAAATGCAAAACCTACATTAATGTAAAATTATGTTGCAAA